ATTCAAAATTAACATTAAAATTATATATAATTATATATTAAATAAATTTATATCTACATATATTATATATAATAATTTTTTTTTATTATATGTAATATTTCTTGTAATATTATTAAATGACTAAATGAGCATCAGTCAAATTGTTAAACTAATATGATAATTATGTAAAAACAAATGTCCAATGATACAAATGTTTTAATTTTTTTAATTTTTTTTTACTGTGAAATGAGTTAAGAGAAGTTAGTTGTGAGGTATTCAAATGCTTTTCAAGTTTAAACCTTTTTTTTCTTTTACTCTTATTATTTTTTATATAAAAAAAACTTGAAATATATTAAATAATATTGTTGTATTATAAGCATAAAAATATATATTTTTTGTTTAATTTGGAAAACACGTGTAAATATTCTTAATAAAGTTTAGTGTTAATTAAAATGATTTAAATTATTTTTAAGAATTATAATATTCATGATTCATGATTCATAAGAATCAAATAATCACTTTATTTTGTTTTGGTCAATCACCAATGCTATAATTCAATGTAATAAGATTTTGATCTATATTAAGAGCATATGACTTCAATCTAATTGGACCTTGGTTAATCAATAGTGTTATAAATGAGCCTAATTGGACATTGATCCATCTTTAATGTAACACTACGATCTAATTGAATTGGGTCAATCATTAGTGTTAAGGTGAAACCTAGCTAAGTTTTGATCCATCATTATTATTGTATCACTTTAGTCTAGTTGGATATGGGTCAATTACTAGTGTTATAGTTGGGACTATTAAGTTTATTGAGTCCATCATTAGTTTAACATTTCTACTTAACTAGACCTTGGTTGTTACACTAGGACCTTAATTATTTGGCCTTGGTCAATCACTAATGTTATACTTTGACTTAATTGAGTCTTTGCTAATCAGTAATGTTATAGAGGAGTCTACTTGGATTTTGGACCTTCATATGTATAACAATTCAATATAATTAAGCCTTACTCAATAATAATTATTATAATTGGGAATAATTGAGCTTTGAGGTTGTAGGGCACCAACATCATTAACATCTAAGTTTGATACTTGTCCAACACTTGCATTTAAGTCTAGTATCAACCCAACACCTATATTTAAGTCGGATACCTATCAAACATCCGCATCTAAGTTCGTATAACCGATTTTGTATGTATTTTAAAATTGGTTATAAAGCAACCGATTTAAAAAATGGTGATATTATTTACAAAAGTGTCACCATCTCTCTTATTAAATGAGTTCTCTTATGACTAATTTTAAATCTCAATGTCATGTGCATATTTTGTGCTAGTGATTTTAAGACATCATTAAGTTAATTTTTTTAAAAAATAAAAATGTAAAAAAATTATAATATAAAAAATTACATATTATAATAAAATATGCTTATTAGGTTAATTCTATTTACTTTTAATTATATATGAAATATTTATTATATATTCAAATTTTTGTTAAATGTGTAGATGTTTTATAAATGGTTTAAAGATCGAAATTTTTAGTCGCAACATATTACATTTCTTTTTATTTAATTTTTTTTTGTGACCGAATGTTTTGAGATCCAAAAATAATAATTCTTTTAGCCATCAAATTTTTGGGTTAAACAATATTTAATATTTAATAGTTATCAAATCTCATGTTTATTGTGAGTGAGACTATTTTTCAAAGAGAACATTTTTAACTATTTTTTTATGAGAGCCATTTTAGAAAATTTTCGACCTTTCATCTCTTTCAATTTATTTGTCTAATTTTTAGTTTTAAATTAAATTTCAATATTAAAAAACACTTTTCCCTATAAATTAGAATAAGTATTTGTTTTGTAAACAATTTGCTCTTCTGATTTTCTCTCACATTTATTCTTATTTAAATATTCTCATGCCATGAAGGTATGTCTAATAACAAAAATTAAAATTATATATTTTATAAAACAGCCTCTATTTTTAAAATTACAGTAAGTATACAACAAGAATATTTATTACTATTTCTTGTTATTAAATTTAATTATTTATCATGTTTAACAAGAAAATACCTCAAATTTTTATAAAAGCATATATATATTGAGTATCCTAATAATTATATTGTGATATTTTCGTTCAACATTTAAAAAAAATCGAACTTAATAAGCTAGATTTCCACTTTTTCCATAAAAATAGTTAAAAAAAAAAAAACAAAAACTAGAAATAAAGAGTGAAAACATTTGTGAGAAACAATATTTCTTAAAGCATTTTTCTAAAAATACATATCAAACATGATAAGTTAATTTTCCTAACTTCAAATTCTTAGAAAATTAAAAAATAATAATGAGAACTAATTAAATCACTATCAAATAGTAATACAACAACCTAATTATCTTTCTATATTGAACCAATCCCGACATGATGCATATTCTTGTTTTGAAGTATGATAATGTTATGACCTAAATTCAATTATTGGTTGATTTGTATAGTTTTTAAGTTTAGGATAAAGGTAGATCTATGAGTTTTGTTTTTATTGAGGCTCCAAAATTCCAGCGCTCCTAATCCTACCTAATTGCCTTGGCGCATTAGTTTAATAATCAGAGAAAAAGTCGGTTCGCAACAATAATATAAAGTATAAAAGCACCACCAATCATTCACATCTGTTACAGTTACACTGTTCCCCTGTTCTGTTCTTCTCAGGAAAAAAAAAAAAGAAAAAAAGAAAATCAGTGGAATTACCAAGGAAATTAGCGAGAGAAAAGTAGAGGACGTGTTTTTACGAGAGAAAGTGTGGGCAATGCAATTCATTGAGCTCTCCGAAATTGGCAATGACAAATAGAAAGTTGAGTTGTCCCCGTTACTTTACATGCACACGAATTAATATTAATAAAATTAAAATACAAAAGATATATCTAATAAAAAGGTGTGGTTATCTTTATGTAAACGGAGCATGTGGATGGTGGGCCATTGAAAACTATAAAACGGAGTCCCCAAAGACTTGCCTTTTTATTCCTTAATTACGGATGCACCCACAACAATTAACTATTAATCAAATCTGCATTATTGAATCTTCACAACTCACAAGGGGGAATTTGTTATTTTTTTATTTTACTCGATCGAAAAGAGGGAACTTTCCTATATACCCTTTTCTTTTCCCACATCACGGACCTTGGACAAACAAACCCCCCTCCTATTCTTTTTGATTTTTATTGAAAAAATTTATAATGACGAGGTTTCCCACCTATATTACAAGAAAAAATAAAATAAAAAATGGTGATGAGGTTGAATAAATATTGAATATGTACCAAATTGTAGGGTAGAAGGAATGGAATAAATAAGCATAAGGATTGGGATTCATGAAGCAAAAGGTGCCCTATGAGGAATGCCTTTTCTTCTCCTTGCATTGGAAGCAGGTGGAGGAGGCGTGGCTGGATACATGTCTTGTGTTGATCCATCACGCAATCCTTCTTCTTGCTGTCTCGATGAGACCGATCCCTTTCTAGTAGCATCCATTGTCAATTCTTCATTCCCACCATCCAAAGCAAAGCTTGCATCCCCATTTTTCTTTATTCCTTCAAGCTATAATTAACCCAACAATTAATTAATTAATTAATTGTACTTGTCACGCCATGTTCCCAACAATTAAAAATTAAAATGACATGTAGTTAGAGTGACATGATGAATATTGAAAAGTAGAGGGAATATAATTATGATGGCGATGGGCTTTCAAGTGTAGGTGATGATGTATGGGTGGTGGGTGTTATACCCATATGATGGGGATGATTGAGTTGTGAATGATGTGCACGTTGATAATGAAATGAGACAACAGTAATACTATGTATCTCACCTTACATCCCAAAGAACAGAACCGAAACGGGTCCAAGAGGCTCCTTCCGCAAATCTCACAAATGTGAGCTACTCCTTTTCCAGATTTTGGCTGGGGCCTCACGTTAAGGAACAACACTCGCGCACTGTTGATCACATACGTCTGCACTCCACTGATGTCTAACATCTTCTGAATTTCAGCCACTCTCACCACATCGTGGTACGAGGATCGCCTTATCTATGATGTAATCATTCATCAATAACATAAGTTAATTAAAATAAACAAAAAATGACCATCACATTATTCGCAGCGCACCTATACAATTTGAATTATAAAGTATGGTATTATATATTATTATTGTGTGAAACATTATAACAAAATGACCTGAATGACTTGATGATCTTTGTGTCTGGAAGAACGGCAATAGAAGCAAAAGGCATCAGCATTATTACAGTCTAGGCAGAACATGTTACATTCGCTCCTAGCGGCGTCTGCGTGAATCCGACACACGCTGAAGAAGGGTGTGTGTAGAAGTTGTTCAAGCCAAGGAGGTACCAGCACTGTGTCCTGCTCAAAGCAAAATTCCACATTATATGAATCATCAATTCAAACACATGATAATAGATATTAAGAGACTAGAGGCAGCACTGCACGCATATATGAAAATAAATATAAATATATACCATATATATATAAAGTGTCGCGGTAGCTGTGGATAATGATAATTATTAATAATGAAGAATGCGGATTGAATAAGAATGGTGATGGGATTGTTGCAGATGAAAATGGAGATGGAGAGAAAGAGAATATAAACGGCCTTTAACTTAGAAATCAACTACACAACAACGCTAAATACTATAAGGACAAAGGGAGATAGGGGATTGGACGGAGGAGATGGAAAGCGGTGACCGAGGGAAGACCACAGGCGTTGGATCTGTTTGGCGCTTACGCTACTTTGGATCTTCTTTGCGTCTTCACCGTCTCACTATACATACAACTCCGAGGTCGGCTACTTCGCTATTTTAATTCATCTTCATTCATACTTTTGCTCATCACTTTTATTTACATCTAAAAATCAAATTTCAGTTTTATAACTGTACAACAAAATTTATAATTAATAGGAAAATAAAAAATATATAAAATATAAAACAAGATAGATAAAATTTAAAATTTATAACTATATCGCATCTCTTATTTATGCATTATAGTTATGTTATAGGTTTATTATGATTTTAGCCTTTTGTAGTTTAATTTTTCACTTTTAATTCTTGTAAAAAATTTCATCTTGTAAAACCTGTATGTTGCATTTTTTAGTCTTGTTATTTAATTATAAAAGATGATAATTTATATCATTATTATATGTCATGTCATCAAAAGCTGATATCATTATATTTTACATCAATAAAATATCATATTATTTGTGTCACATCAATATAATGCTATATAAATTTTAAATAAATAATTTCAAATAAATATTAAAACATCATCAATATTAAAGTATATTAAAATTATATATTTGAAATAAATATGAAATAGAAAAATATAAACCAAAATGTAACTTTTATAGTAAAGACTTTGTTTTATTAAATATAACAAATATAGAGTAAAAAACTTTTAAAAGTGATTAAAAAATACATTTGTCAATTTAACATTATTTTTTCTGTATACTAATATTTTAGTATGCATAAAATGTACTAACTTATTAAAATTTACATTCTCAAATATTGATATTTTCTGATAAATTATTTAATTTTAATTTAGAGATAAAAAATTGATTGGAAGAATAAGAGGTTAAAAAATCAAATGTAAAGATAAATTGAATGATCGAATAAATTGTTTAACTAATTTTGAATTTAGTGTATTATGAAATTCACCTCTAAAAAAAAAGAAAATAAAATATTGAGAATGTATAATTAAAAATTTTACTATTTAAACAAAATTTGTAGTCACCCTTATATATTATATTAAATATAAATATCAGCAACTGTTTTGAACTAGAGTATTTTTAGTTTTTTTTAGATAAAAGGGGATAAAAATCCAAATTAAAAATTGCAAAAGAAACAACTAGCTAAAATACCAACAACAAAGAAATGTAAATCCTAGGTGGGGGTCATTCAAAAACATAACCCCATCAATAAAGCTAAAGCTAAGGTTTGTCATAGTACCAATAACTTGATTTTCTTCCATGAAAAAATGTAGATACACTTTAGCCCTTGGCTCATTTCAGCATTCTCAACAATAAAGTTGACAAGGGTTGCACAACTATGAAATGCATTACAAGATTTAATGATAGTATTTTAACTTTTCAAGATTTTTTTATAACCTCTTATCTTTAATAATGTATCATTTAATTTATTAATAATATACATATATATATATATATAATTTTATTTTTAAATTTAATATTATTTTAAAATAAATTATAAATAATAATCATTCTCTCATATAAATTAGAAAAATTCTCCTATTTAACACTATTTTTAAGAATTATTATTCAACAATAGTTTTTTAATTATTTTCTTTACAAATAATATTTTTAAAAATTGTTAAAGTTATATTTTTAAGTTATCATTATTAGTTTTATTTCTAAATTAATTTATAATTATAACATGGTAGAAGATTTTAACAAAATTTAATTTGATAAAATAATTTTAAATGCTAACAAAAAAGTTGAGAGGCTTTGCCAAAGATGACTGGGCCAGCCCGGGAAATAGTTATTGATAAAACTGGAAAGAGGACCACGGGCAATAATCAGCCCAAAGGGTTTTTATGACTAAAAAAGAAAAATAAAAAGTAAAGTTAGTTTCGAAGAAGGAACCAGTTTTGTTCCCACTTTCCTAAGTTACCTCCTCGCTCCCGTCTCTCAAATTTCGAGGGTTTCTGTTTCTGGTGCTTTTTCGTTTGGTGAATCAGCAATTCGGAACCAGTTAGCAATGTTCAGATTCTGGTAATTCTTCATTTCTCTTCCAAAATCGAATTAAACGTTGTATACATACATCTCTCTTCAATCTATTTCGCTTCCCTTGATTTGAGGAATTTAATCGCGCGTTTGATCACAGAGAACTTTCATAAACTTAATTTCCGATTTGATATCGGTTAATATCATCATATGTTAATTTTGCCACTAACGATGATTATGCGCAGGGGATCACAAGAGCAACAATCGCAGGATGGTTCTTCGCAATCACAATCGTGGTATCCGCCATCGGTGGCGAGCACACCAACATCGTCGAGGCCTCTTACACCGTCTGCGTCATCATCTTCCTTGCAGAGGACTTCGTCGAATGTTCCACCTTCCGAAGCTGCTGGAGTTATTGCCATTTTGAAGGACAAGAGGTTTGTCTTTTTTGTTTATTCTCTTTTCATATTTTTAGCTGTTTATGATTTTGTTAACGGAAAGTAGTTGGGAAGGGTGCTGTTAGTTGTTCAATTAGTGCTTTCTGATTACTCTGATGTTGTGAATTGTTTCGGTTATTCAAATATGCTGAATTGCTGATGTTGATTATTTTTTGTGGTCTTTACAAATTGCAGTGCTGATGAGTTGCGGAAGCTTTTATCTGACAAAGATGCGTATCAACAGTTTTTGCATTCGCTTGATCAGGTCAAGATTCAAAATAATGTAAGTTTCATATCCTTACTTCAATCTCTTGTGGTTTATTACTTACGAATCAGTGTATGTTTACCTGCTGTGTTTTCTGCATTTTGTTAGTCTATTTCACCTTCTCTCTGGAGTTGAAAGAGTTCTTGTTACCTTGTTTGAAATTATTGATTTGGAAAAAGATCCATGAACACCTCTTGGTGTATAGGAAGAGAGGAGAGATAAGTGGTTGATATGATTAGTAATGTAATGTGACAAAAGAGAGAGATAGAGAGAAATGGAAAATGACAATTAGGTGTTTGGACCGTTTAGGTGTCCACAAATCAGCATTCAATTGATTTCATTGAAGTGCTAAGGCCTTAGGGTAGCTGCTGGGTGCCTGGCCCTTGCATTTATAACTATATATTGTGCTAAGATGGAGTTCGGTTGCATGTAATGTAGTATTCCACCTTGATATTTATTGTCTTTGATAGTGTGTATTGTTTCATACCTTTGTACATTATCAAAGAAGATAGGATAGAACGGGGTTTGTTAATATATATTGATGTCTTTTAGGAGGAGTGCATTTATAACTATATATTTGTTAAACTACTTATATCTTATTAATTTCTTATTCATTCTAAAACACTAGTGGGATGGTGATATTATATTTCCACTCATTTTCTAGGAGTATATATTATCACCATGTTAAAAGACTCTCAAAGGTGGAATGTCTTAACATACTCTTTTTTTTTTTAAAAAAAAAAAAAAGTGGTAGTATATTAGTAACCTCTTGTTTGTGTTTGTTTGTGTGGGTATATTGATCGATTGACACCAGCTATCAGACATAGTAAAATGATGCATTTTATAGCATTTTCAAAAGTAAGTTTTATATTTTCAAAAAGTTATTAAGCATATCATTTTACAAAGTTTAACACTTGATGTCAATTGATCCTATTTCTATTAAGTTTAAACTTGTCTTTCAACACATTGAACTGTACTATTTTATGTGTTAGAAGGGCTGGAATAATCCCAAACTTGCATTCTCAATCTTGTAATTTGGAGCCAAATGCGTAATATGGTAGGCTTTGTGATTTAGCTAACCCAGGAGTTAGACAGAAAATAGTGTGTTGGAGCTGCCTAAATCCAGATAAAAGAGAATCAGCCTAAACTCCGAAACCCAAAAGAGACTGACCCTTCTCATAGTTGTGAGTTGTGACACTGCAATTGAAATGATTTTTTGAGATTGTTACATCTGTAATATGATGTGAATTTGTGAGTCTTGTGATTTGTGACGGAGTGATACTTTATGCATTTGTTATTAGGTGCATTTGTCCTTGTTACTGTGTTTTTATGCCAGTGCCCATGCCCCTCTCCTTTTCTTCCGTTCTGGGTTCCCATTGATCTTTTTTATGCTCTTGCAACTTGGTGTTGGTGGTGCTACAATTATGTATACATATTTTGTATTTTATTTTATTATTCAATTTAATATTTTTTTAAAGTATTGCTAAAAGGATTGGGAAAAAAACTAATATATCTAATTTGTATATTTAATGACAATGAAAAAGTATTAATATTTTTATGTGACTAAAATTTATTTTAATGCAAGGTAAATATTTTTTAAATTCTTAATTGTCTTTTTAATCATTTAAATATGAATAAACTATTGTTATATCATCAATGATTGATTGTTAAGACAATATATATTCCTAAACAAATTTTAGAAAAATATTGTTTTTACATTTTTTTGAACTGTATATGTTTTGAGTGAGAAGAAAAATATACTTAGAGAAAAAAAAAAGCACAAATGTAATGGATAATGTAGTGAAAAGATAGAAATAGCATTTAAGAATAGAGATGGAAAGTAATAAATATGATGGTAGATACTTTTCTGCAGTTGTTTTGCTTTTATTCCTGATGCTGGAGTATGTATTGGCTCATATTTTAACTATTTCTCTTGTTGGCTTATTGACTTGATCAGCTGAAAGATGAACTTTGCAAGGAGAATTTACAGCTTGCAGGTGAGTTATTGAATTTCTTTTATTTGATATATTGCCATTAGATGGTTGGTCTACTGTTAAAGTGTTAGTAGAGATTCTCAAATATTGTCTTTATTACAGAGGAAAATCTTCAAAAAGAACCTCGCATCATGGAACTTAGGAATCAAGTAAGATTATAATCCTATGATTGGTTTGATTTTTTTCTTTTTGAATAATGGCAGATTACTGAATTTTTCTCTGTCCTATGGAAACAGTGTAGAATAATTCGGACAACTGAGTTGGCTGCTGCTAAAGAGAAACTAAATGAGCTTGAGAAGCAGAAAGAAGAAATGTTGAAGTTGAATTCCCCAGCATCTCTTATCCAAAGGATTCAAGGTATGTCTACAAATTGTAGTTTGCTGCAATAGTTTTGGTGATCACAATTTTTATTACAATTGAGGCTAAGGCTCAGTCATAAACATGATAAACCATATAATATTTTTGCAGAGTCTGCGAATAAGACTGACGAGGAATCTGAAAATCTGCACCAGCATCTCCTGGACAGAGAGATTGACCTTGGGGCTTTCTTGCAAAAGTACAAGAAGCTACGTACCACTTACCACAGGAAAACTCTCATACATTTAGCCGCTAAAACATCAACAATATGAGTACTTACGTATTTGATTTTTGCTTCATTATTGTCTATAGTTATCTGTTGGTCAAAGATACTTGTCACCATATAAAGTCGCAGTCGTTGGGATAGCCATCTACTAGAAATGAGATTGTTCATATATGTACAGCCTTAGATGGTGACATTTGCGAGTACCGCTTGAGATGTTGTTTGGACTTGTCTTCAGTTCTTCACTGTTTCTTTTTGGTTTGTGATTGGCTGGCTACCTTCAAACATTATTTGTATGAACTCCGAAGTACATGCTGTAAGAGATCATCGTCGTTGACATAGGATTTACTGTCGTGTGTTGTAAAATGTAAACAAATGCTGTACTTTCTTTTCTTTGGGAGCAATAAGTTTTTCAGAACTCATTTTAACCTTGAGAACATTTTGCCGGACACTTTAGTTGAACTTCATTTTTTAAAAATAAAAAAAGAAAAAAAAAGCATTAAACAGGTTAATATTGTGTTTGGATTGGTTGAGAAAGTTCATCCTGTATTTGTACGAACGAGCACAACTTGAATTTAGGTTCACATACACTTCTCTTGCAAAAGTAAATAAATGAGAAATAAGAAAATCATCTATATTGAAACCAGAGAGAGCATCCCCATTAATTAGTAATAGCCTCCTTTTCCTTGTCCTTGGGGATCTTTAGGTTCAGAATCATCGACATCAGTGTCTGGCTTATCGCACATAGGAGTGGTATAATAGAAAGGGTTGAGGACGTATTTGATTAAGCTGCGATAGACTGATGTCGGGTAGTTGAGTTTGACGCCAGACTTTCCACCACCAAAATCGGTAAGGATATTGCAAACATTACCTGGAGACGATACCAACCTCACTGAGCATCGTTTTGTATCCAATTCCTTGCCGTTAACATACTTGTTCACAGTTAAGTCGTACTGCCCCAACTCATCTGTTGTATCACTTGTGTAATACACAACCCTGCTTCTCTTGTCCATGCATGTTAGGGACACCTTAACACCTGTTAGTGTAAGCGTAATTAGTTGAAAGCTGAGCTATATATGAAAAGATTACAATTACAATGGTACAATACCTTTGATAGGCTTGCCACCATTAACCCATTCGTTCCAGCCCTGAGTGCAGTCCTGGCACAGCACTTTTCCACCCACGTGAATGACTCCTGATTCATCGAAAGCTGAGACTGCTAAGTTATTGGTGCAACTCACTAGCATTGAGGCAAAAATGATCCCCAAAGCTCCTGCAAAACCCATCTCTCTCTCTCTCTCTATTCACAAGGATATATGCCTGCAAGAAGCAAATATATATATATATATATATATATATATATATATACACACAACCGATGTGCTTGAATTGTTGATAAACGTGGCACAGCACTACTATCGGTCTAAGGACGTGCAACCCATTGTTCAATTTTTTTATAATATTAATTAATCATATGATCCAATTATGATATTAATTGGGAGTTTTCAACCCGCTTAACGTAGCATCAAAAATATATTTAAAGTAATTCAGGGAAAATATTATTTTGAATGTTGTTATATATCATTAGGAAATTGGGTTAGATCCTCCAAGTGACGCCACGAAAGGCTAGTAAAAAAGTATCTTGCAGGCTCTAATTTTTTTGGTGGGCGTACGAAAGGAGGCCGAAGGCCCAAAACCCCAACTGCTGGAAAGAGATCACTCCTTAGGGTAGACACCCAACAGGGAGGACGCAAATTGAAGAATACTCCATCTTAATTCGGTCACTCCAAAAACAAAATTAGCAATTCGGACACTCCATAAAGCAAAATTAGAATTTTTTTTTCTTACATTGTTTAAATTAGGACACAAAATCTTTGTAAATTTGTTAATTTGGTATAGTGTGTCAATTTTAGAATTTAAAAAACCAAATTTAAATTGGGATTATTAATGTTATAATAATGTTAGCGTGATCCTCTTTAATTTGACATAAGCTTTTAATTTAGTGACGACCACAAAAAGTTGATACTACCTATTAGCTTAAATAGTATTAGCATTGATCACAAAGTTAACACCGTCATGCTAAATTGCATTTAGCAAATATTTTTTCTAATTAGTATTGAATTTTGGCTGACACTGTTTAATATATATTTTTCTTGGAAGGTGACATTATTAAAACTGGATTGACACATTCAATATCGGATTGAACTCTAGCTAGGTACAAATATGTGATAGTCATCTCACATGTAACACCTAAATTTTTTAAAATTATTTAAAAAGATGTTTTAAATAATTAAAGAAGTTTATAAAATATTTTAATTTTTTAATAATTATGAGTAGTTTTAATTAATAAAAAATATTTATGAAATTATTTTGTTATAAAAAATATTTGGAGAAAACATATGTTTTAATTAATTATGTAATTAAATGTATTTTGAAAAATATGATTTTATTTAAAAATAAATA